AGTTTATCTTCTACTACTACTAACAAAATCATTACTGACTGGGACACCAGTGTTTAATTAATTTGGCGCATGCGTAGTATTGGTAGATATACCGTACCAATAACATGACGTGTATAGGTATGATTCAAAACTGGAACTGGAAACGTTCCTTGTTTTTTAGCTTCAAGTGTACACACTCTAAACGAAGATTACAGTCCGCAGTATTCGTACACCAAAGGAGGATATATAGACTTTTATAAAGATCCGTTTGGGGGAATTCAACGTCTCGCGATAAGAACAAATAACATTTACATATGGGTGATTCGCGCTTTAGAAGATCACGTGGTCAGCTTTTTGGTCACGGATTTAGTCATTCTTGGAATTGAAGTCCATCCAGCAGGTATATCACTCGTAACAAATAACGATGTATATTTCATCAAATTACATGTCATGTTAAGTATGTAAACACGTGTGTATGATTTGAATTCATATAATGTGCAGTAGCTTGCATTGTACTGTCATAAAAACTCGTACTAATCTTCATGGAGTTAATACCATTTATTTTGAGATTGCATTTCAGATTCAGTTATCGTTGTACGTGATGGTTTCACTTCCGAGGGAAATACAATTGGAATGAAGAAATACCGTTCGAATGACGAAGAAACATATTTTTATAGAATAGACTCGTCTACTGAGGGACTTCATATCACCATGGATACAAGTTCTTTGCAAACGAGACGATTTGTTGCGAAGTATACATCAGTAAAGAGAAAACTAGGTAACGACGTTTTACACACTCTTTCACCTCGCATTTGTGTGTTCTGTTTCTGCGTTGACGTTTGTTACTGTCATTTATTATCCTCGATAAAAACCGTGAAATATGGTAGTAGTTACCAGGTCAGTCTAGATGAATAACCATATATTTGCATATGAATGAATAATGAATATTCAAGTAATTTTCGTTACACAAACAATAAAATGCAAATTTATGTTAATCGTCTATACTGACCTGGTAACTATTTATGGTACCAAGTATTACCTTGAAAAATTTTATTGTGATAGATTTTGATACATTTTTTTTTATTTAAGAGACTGAAATTTGCCCTGAAGGATATCACAGTTGTCTTGGCAACCGTTGTATTGGACAAACGGCCCTGTGTGAAGATAGACGATTTTGTGGGGAAAAAGGAAGAAAGGTCGACATTCTTTGTGGCAACGAAGATGGAGGTAGAACGCTTAGTTTTGATGATTCCAAGTCAATAATGTTGAATTCTATGATATATATTATTACATTATAGCATATTAATATTTATTTATATGTAAGTATTTGTCTAACGTTCTTCGCTATCTTTTATCTAAGGCTTTTGTAAGAACGATGGAGATTGTAAAAATGCAGGACATTGCTTCGGAACGGGGAGTTACTGTTTCTGTAGACCGGGTTTCGGCGGAGATTACTGCGAATACAATTTGTTGGGTAAGTGATCCCGAGTTGTTTTGGTTGTAATATCGCCTTAACACTGTTAAACTAGAATATGGTTCTTCGACAAAGGTAACGAAATAGACTCAGGCTACGCTGTCATCCACCGGGATGCCACCATCTGTCTACGAGTACGGTTATACCCACGAGGGACACGTAATAATAATTCCGTAACTTGATATTTACATTTCGATGTACGTGTGTGCTAATTATAGAATGACGTACATGATGAGCATGTCACGGAAGGTACCAAGCTCATTAGAGTTCTTTCGTTGACAACTATTAAATAAAATATGAAGATTAGACTTGGTGTGAAATTGTTATGATACAGTGTCTAATTTTCGCATACTCTTTTTTTCTGTTGTTGATATTATGTTGATAGATTGTGTACCTAGTTGTATGAATGGTGGTGTTTGTAATAGTGGGGCTTGTGAATGTCCGAAGAATTATTCTGGACGTCGATGTGAAGTCGGTAAGTCGATTATCATGCGGTACATTTTATTTTCTGTCTAACAAAGGTTTAGGGCAATCCATGAACATAATCACTACAGGGTCTGTTTGAACAACAGACGCGGATGATGGAATGCAAGTTCATTGCAAGACCGTTATGGGAACTCTTATTGAATTAATCGAATCTCCAAGC